TGTGTGATTCTTTATCTTTTAACTCCACGCCTCTTGCCAAGACCCTCGCATTTACTTCTCTTACAACCCCATCTATAAATATATTAAACAACCACGGTGACATCACACATCCTTGTCTAAGGCCTACTTTTACTGGGAAATAATTTCCCTCTTTCCTACATATTCTAACTTGAGCCTCACTATCCTCGTAAAAACTCTTCACTGCTTTCAATAACCTACCTCCTACACCATACACCTGCAACATCTGCCACATTGCCCCCCTATCCACCCTGTCATACGCCTTTTCCAAATCCATAAATGCCACAATGACCTCTTTAGCCTTATCTAAATACTGTTCACTTATATGTTTCACTGTAAACACCTGGTCCACACACCCCCTACCTTTCCTAAAGCCTTCTTGTTCATCTGCTATCCTATTCTCCGTCTTACTCTTAATTCTTTCAATAATAACTCTACCATACACTTTACCAGGTATACTCAACAGACTTATCCCCCTATAATTTTTGCACTCTCTTTTGTCCCCTTTGCCTTTATACAAAGGAACTATGCATGCTCTCTGCCAATCCCTAGGTACCTTACCCTCTTCCATACATTTATTAAATAATTGCACCAAACACTCCAAAACTATATCCCCACCTGATTTTAACATTTCTATCTTTATCCCATCAATCCCGGCTGCCTTACCCCATTTCATTTTACCTACTGCCTCACGAACTTCCCCCACACTCACAACTGGCTCTTCCTCACTCCTACAAGATGTTATTCCTCCTTGCCCTATACACAAAATCACAGCTTCCCTATTTTCATCAACATTTAACAATTCCTCAAAATATTCCCTCCATCTTCCCAATACCTCTAACTCTCCATTTAATAACTCTCCTCTCCTATTTTTAACTGACAAATCCATTTGTTCTCTAGGCTTCCTTAACTTGTTAATCTCCAAAACTTTTTCTTATTTTCAACAAAATTTGTTGATAACATCTCACCCACTCTCTCATTTGCTCTCTTTTTATATTGCTTCACCACTCTCTTAACCTCTCTTACCCTTGTATCCAGATTATAATAGCTATGTAGATATGAGAGTGACTGGTAGCAATAGTCAAACTGATTAGGTGGTTAATAAGTCTGCTCTCAAGATCTTTAGATTCACTCTAAACAAGCTTTCAGCTTTCATGGGATGCATCTGTCATGGATGCTGGGAGAACACATTGCTTGTCACTAAAGAATGACAAATAGAAGACAGACACCCACCGTAATTTACTATCCAAAGAAATATCCTACCTACAAAAGAATTATACTGGCCTGTCAACTTGAAGTGGGACTTACCAGGATTCTCTATGGCTACTGTCTGCATCTATTTGGGCTTGTATGGTGGACTGTTGTGTTTATGGTATCCCTATAGCATGTGTTCTTGAGGGCTGAGTTTGTCAGACATTTCTGGCTATTGACACAAGACAATTGCAGAGTTCATTAGATTACATAAGGCAGGCCATCAAACAAAAGGAAATAGTAGAAGCCAGTATTATCTGGGAGCATCCAAAGGATGTGGTTTCATCATTTCCTTGAGAACAATGTTCAAGACATGCCTACACCAAAAGCACACTCAAGGAAGCATAGACAAATGTCTCCACTAATGTTAACTGTACAGAGGTACCTAGATATAATCTGTTATTATCTGCCCAAATCTTTCATTCAGTGTGGTGCAAGGTTTTTATACAAAACAATGCTTTTTGCCACACCCCTTGTTGTGTGCTGCACCCTTCTTGATGACTGGCCAGGAAACTCTCCAACCATGAACCCCATTGACAACCTTTGGACTAAGATAAAGAGAGATCTACTAAGAGGACATCAGACAATTCTCATGGTTTCAAGATGCCATCCACAAGTTGTGAGGTGACTTACCCCATGAAACCCTGAAGAATGTGTTAATCACTTCCTAGATGGTTAAAGAATGCCCTAAAGTGCATGAATAACCTATTATGTGGTTCTGATTTTTGAGGGGGAACTGACATACTTTAATGACAAGCACTGTACAATACAGTATTTAATGAAGAAAGAATTATTATAATCAAAAAGAAGCGCTAAGCCACAAGGACTATACAGCAATGAAGAAAGAAAAATTCAAAATACTTTGGCTGGAACAAATCATAAATAACTCACACTTGGGAGAGGAGCCTTATGACGACATTATCAATTTTTTTACTTTTGGTGCCATTACCTTGAGAAAAAGATTCTCTACCATTTCAGAAGAAAAAATTGTTTTTTAAATATGGACACTGAGAACAATATTAATTCTGAGGGCCTGGACAGTGAAAGGGTTAAGGCCACCAGGATAAAAATTAAACTCGGAATAGCTCCAAGAATTGTATATTTTACAAGTCCGTAACCAAAGAAAGACAAGATTATCAAATTGGTATTTATCATTTTAATTAATTTCATTAATACACAAGGAGCAATGAGGAGTACGACAGTGTGAAAGTATGAATTGGAAATACAATTTATGTAAATCTCCTTGAATATACAATTACAAAAAGAAATACATTTTTTATGACGAGTTGTAATGCTTTTCAGAAGAGAACAAAGATACTGTAATTCAAAAATTGGGTGTGATGGCATAAAAAAAGGTCATGCTGAAATTTCTATAAACATCCAATAAACACTAATTCAGTCATTAACCCAAGGTTAATTTGTCTTTTTATATACATCATTAAGGAACTTCACAAAATACTTTGAATTCTGAACATAGTAAATAAGCAAGAGAGGGCCACTTATAACATGAAACTAGCTGACAGTTTTACTTAATAATTTAAATGTTGTGGCCTACTGCACTCATAATGTCTGGTATAGTGGTATGAAAAATAAGGCAGTACAGTGTAATCTCTGTTTTTATAATCTCATTGGGTAATTTTATTAAAAACATTCTGAAGATAAATAATATTAATCTACTTGTCATTCACCCATTCTGCAAATGCAAATGATCCAACAGAGAATTTTACTGTTCATTAAATTTAGTTTTATTTGATGCATAAAATATTAATAATAATATATTAGGAAATATGGCATTATCATTTGAGAACGTTTTAACTTGATATTTAAACAGAAAGGAAGGCTTTGTCTTGGCAATGAAATATCTGATCTTTGCATATACAGGAGTAAATTACATTGCTAGCCAAAATGTTAAACCCAGCAGCAACTATTTACAGAGAACATTACAAGGTAATTATATCCTGCTATCTTTCTTATGATAAAACCCAATATAGTACTGTACAAAATTATTCTGCCACACTCATTAGCTGCTCAAATTTTGGCAAAAAAAACTCTTAATTTAAAACTCATTGATATTACAGGATTTTTTAAATTTGAGAACAGATATATATTGTATATATTAAAATAAAGACTATACAATCACACAAATTGAGCACCTTAGGCAATGACGTCTGATAATAATTGAAAACTGACTAGAATATTGTTTTGCCTCAGTAGCTTCCTTTATGATCATATACCCCTATTGCACGATCTGGATAGGTCAACGTGAAGTAATGTTTAACATTATGGAATATCACTCTCTCCCTCAGCTAGAACATGTTATGCCTAACACTCACATTTATTCATATTTCATAAAAGCAACATTGAAATAACTCATAACTTATTGACCTGCAATGTTTACCATCTTTATTATTTTCTATTACAATATAACCTTCATAAACACAGACTCAATTGCAATGCACATCATTAGCCTATTTTACTAATAAATAATGTATTAAAAATAAAAAATATTGCCACACATTTCATTAAAGACTGGAAATGCAAAAAATAACAAAAACATTGTCAATGCATGCAAATGCACAAGCAGTGCACCAGCAAATGCACTGCCTTACATTATTTGTATTGAACATTAACCCTTTCACTGTTGGTGCCGTAGTACTACGGCTTACAAGCCAGTGTTGATGTTGTAGAACTACATGAGAAAATAGGTCTGAGTGGTCAGTGTGTGCAGTATAAAAAAATCTTGCAGCACGCAGTGCATGAGAAAAAACAGCTCCAACCGTGTTTTTGCTTTAAAACGTTGATTTTGTGGTATATTTTTATATGGTCTTTATAGTCGTATTCTCGTTTTTTTTTGGTCTCATTTGATAGAATGGAAGATATATTACAGAAATAGAGATGATTCTGAATGGTTTTCGGACTAAAAGTACCTTGAAATTGAGCTCAAATTAGTGGAAATGTTCGATTTTTGCCAATGTTCAAGAGTAAACAAATCACACCATGCGTGATTTGTTTACTCTTGAACATTTGTTTACTGTTTCACAAATGCACTGATATTATTTATACCATTTTGACAATAATGCAATAGTCTGCATAACAGTAAATCTTCTCTTTTTTGTGAATAAAAATTCAATATGGAAAGCAAGGTAATATAAGAGGGGCCTGGAGATGTGACTAATGAACAGAGAAAATTTTATTTTAGTGCTAGGAATGTCTGCATTGTTTATTGTGGCCCCTATTTTGAAATTGGCCTTACTTGAATTGTGTATGAAATTGGCCAAATTATCAATTTCTGATCACTTTATTGGGTAGTTGAAATTAGTAAATGATCACTTGACTTAAGAAATCGTAATGACACGATTGCAAATAAACCATACCCCCGGCCGGGATTGAACCCGCGGTCATAGAGTCTCAAAACTCCAGCCCGTCGCGCTAGCCACTAGACCAGCTAGCCACAATAAGATTCATCCAACTAGGTATATTTCTACACCATAGGAAAGTTAGCACAGGCACCTCTGTGACCACAAATGCAAGTTTTTACAGACGAATCTCCAGCTAGCGTGGCCACGCTAGCTGGAGATTCGTCTGTAAAAACTTGCATTTGTGGTCACAGAGGTGCCTGTGCTAACTTTCCTATGGTGTAGAAATATACCTAGTTGGATGAATCTTATTGTGGCTAGCTGGTCTAGTGGCTAGCGCGACGGGCTGGAGTTTTGAGACTCTATGACCGCGGGTTCAATCCCGGCCGGGGGTATGGTTTAGTAAATGATCAGTTTCTTGTACTTAGTCGATAGAACAAATGGAGTTCTAGCAAAATAGCCGAGTTTGGTCGACTGGAACAATGGAATTGGCCGAAAATAGGGCTCAAAGTGGGCAAAATCACTGGTGCGTAAATATCGCCAAGACTGCTAACTTCACGAGAGTGTAATTCCATAAGTTTTCCATCAAATTTCATACTTTTGGTGTCATTACCATCGGGAAAAGATCATCATTTCATAAGAATTTTTTTTTCAACATAGAGAAAGTTTGTGAGCAGACAGTGAAAGGGTTAAATGCCAAAAAACATGAAAAATAATAAACTGTTAATACTTGAACTTCCTAATTTTTTTATTTATTATACAGTACATACCAAAATTTTTTCCACTAATTAGCAATTCAAATTTGTTAACATGTATTCTAGCCAATTAAAAACATGGTATAATATGTACATAAAGTTAATTTACTCATTACCACACTCTATAAAATGATGTAATATACAGTAGTTATAATCTTCTATGTTTGATAATTCTACAGTATTATTAACTCGTACAGTATATAGTATTTAAAACAGCCAGTCTGAAGAAAGCAAAGCTGTTTCTTCTCTATTGTGAGTGTCTAGTTTATGTTCTTACATAAGCATGTCTAAATGATCAATACTCTTTAGTTCTTTTATAATACTTAATTACATATGTAATTGTCATATAATAAGTACAGACAATACGAGGCACAAGTTAAATATTTCATAGGCATTCACAATCCAATCTTACACGTCAGACACACAACAGACATTATCTCACTCAGTAAAAAGATTTTTATTATTTGACCTAAGCAACAGATTAACCTGATTTAGGGCAATTTAGCATACATGTCATCAATTTGCGGAGTGAAGTATTTTTTTAGTTGTGGTCTCTTGGATTTGAGAGTAGGAGTCAGGAGACCATTCTGGACACTGAAGAGGTCTGGGTGCAAGTAGATATCCTTGACCTGAAAAAATTATATATGCTTGTAATGTGCATGCTTAACAATTCACAAACAGGCAAAATTATTGTCAAGGGTCTGGCTGTGTGACTAAAGTACTACATACTCTGATGCAGTGTGTGCAGGTTTGAATCCTGCTCTGGACTGAGATAATGTTTGTATATATGTATATGAACATATATCCCATTAGGATAGTGGGCTAAAATTTTCCCCAATGAGGCATGCATGCTGTGAAAGGTGACTGAAATGCCAAGAGCAAGAGGCTAGTAACCCCTTTAGTATTTAATTACTAAGAAGCCAAATGAAAGTATAATTGGGTGTTGGTGCCTGGGTGTTGAACAGGTAAGAAAGAATTGACTGTTGAAACCATATCAACATATCTTTCGTTGTGTATGATTCCTAAACTTGTGTACTGTAAAAGCCATTTCTAAAAATTTTCAAGATTTACCAATTTAAGATTTTAGGATTTTCAAGTTGAAGGCTTATGTTGTTTTATTTTTTCATCATAAAAAACTCTGGGTTACAAATATGCAGAACACTCAAGAGGACACTCACTGTTTAACTATGTCAAATTCAGCTCATATCAAATTAAATTTGTTATACGGATATAATTTTGTTTTCAAATTCCAAACTCATGATACCTCTAGCAACTTAACCCCTAATAATTTCAGTTCAATTGTACAGGAGAAATTAAATATGAAATTTAAAAATCTCACCTGCTCAAAGGACTTCAAACCAGCTGCCTTGCCGAGGTTCGTAATATCATCCATAATAAGTTGTTTAATGTGAGGATTAGCACAGAGAACCGAGAGAGTGCCGGGTATCTCTTGTTCTCTTGCCCATTCTTTAATAGCCTCTACCTCTGGTACCACAATTCCCACCACACTCGCCTGTCAACAATAAAAATTAGTGAATGTTCTGCTATTCAGCTTTGTAGTTCTTTAGCACCTGTATCCTCTGTTCTTATTTCTTCAAAGATGAGGAGTGTCCTTGATGCTGGTAAAGGGCTTTTCATCCAAAGAATTAGAGCTACCATCTCTCAGGCACTGTATGCCCCATGAATACAAATTAATAATAACAATCTTTTTCCCCCTACCCATGCCTCATCCTCCCTCCCTCCCTCCCTCCTACTCTCCTTATAAGTTACTAAGACAGTTTGGTCATGTAAAAAGAAAGGAGCAAACAAGGTTTATTAATTTAATGTATACACACCTTCAATATTGCATGTGCACATGCATTCACAATATATACACACACCACTACAGCATATACACAACCATTTACAATGTCCACATAAGAGTGTATAGCATCTGAACATATATACACATCTTCACAAACAAAAATAAACAAACATAAGTAATAAAAACAGTATTTTAAATGACCATACAATCTCACATTCACCTGATAACATTTAAACAAATGAGAGTAAAACATTCATATCTTACCTTAAGACCTTCACCATGTACGAAGACTTGAGCAACGTACTGTGATCGTACATATATATTTTCTATTTTTTCAGGGGCTATGTATTCACCTTGTGCAAGCTTAAAGATGTGTTTTTTACGATCAATAATTTTCAATGTTCCATTCTGTAAGAAAGAAGCAGTTTTAGTGTGATTTTTACACATCACCCTTCTAAATTACAGTTATAATAAAATGTTCAGTAGTGCCAAGTACAAAGAAGTATGAAAATAAAATCCCACATGAAGTGGAGAGATTTATGAAATAAACACTATAGTATGGAACTATTTTATGTCTAAGAGATGAACTTAAACTTACAGGTAGCCACTGGCCAATGTCCCCAGTGTGAAGCCATCCTGAGGCATCAACTGCTTCCCGAGTCTTTTCTGGATCTTTGAAGTATCCTTTGAATACATTGGAACCTTTGATACAAACTTCACCCTGACCTGCAGCAACATAAAATGAAAAATTTAGATAGTACATTATAACCTTCTTCATTAGTTACACAATATTCATATTGAAAGAATACAAGAAGTGCAGTCCTAAAAAAAAAAAAAAAAAAATTGGCTAATGGAACAGTCTACAATAAGGTTTACCTGATACCAGTGTCTCATAATAAATGTGGAAGATGAAAGGTTGCTTCATCTCCCTATACCTGCTGATGTCTTTCTTGATATTGTTCACCTGTGTGGATTAACTTCTTTTCCTTTAACCCTTTGACTGTCGCAACCCCCAATCCTGAGGTGTCTTCTGGTGTCGCAAAATTTAAAAAAAAAAAAATTATTTTTTCTTATGAAATGATAGAGAATCTTTTCCCGATTGTAATGACACCAAAAAAACGAAATTTGATGGAAAACTGACGGAATTATGCTCTCGCGAAGTTAGCGACCTCGGCGCTGTTTACAAATCGGCGATTTCGCCCACTTTGAGCCCTATTCTCGGCTAATTTCATTGTTCCAGTCGCCCAAACTCATAGCGATTTCTTTAGAACTCCATTTTTTCTATCGATTGAGTACAAGAAACTGCCCATTTACCGATTTCAACTACCTAATAATGTGGTCAGAAATTTGCAATTTGGCCAATTTCACGAAAACTAAAAAATATGACAATTTCAAAATAAGGTCCAGAATGAACAATGCAGACATTCCTGGCTCTAAAATAACATTTTCTTTGCTCATCAGTCATGTCTCCAGGCCCCTCTGATATTACTCTTTCTTTCTATTTTGAATTTTTATTCAAACAAAAAATAGAAGACTTACTATTATGCAGACTACTGCAATACTGTAATAATTGTATAAATAACGTAAACCCATTTATGACTGCATATTAGAATGGCTACTTAGACATTTGTTGGACAATGACATCATTTATTTACTTTTGAACATTGGCAAAAATCAAACATTTCCCCTACTTTGAGCTCCATTTCCAGGTTCTTTTTATAGTAAAATCAATCAAAATCACATCTATTTCTATAATATGTTTTCCATTCTATCAAATGAGACCAAGAAAACGAGAATACAACCATAAATGCAATACAAAAATAGACCACAAAGTCGGCATTTTAATTAAAAAAAACGGTCAGAGTTTTTTTTTTCTCATTATGCACTGCATGCTCCAGGATTTTTTTTATATGGTGCACACTGACCACACAGACCCATTCTCTCACATGTGGGCCTACCAGCTTTCTCCTGCTTGATTTGAAGCCGCCAGAATTTATGAGTATATATACGTCAAACACGGTACCTCGTAAGACGTATATATACGGCCGCGACAGTCAAAGGGTTAAAGATAAACTTATTCTCAAACCTTTGGTGTCACTATGGGTTCTCCTCTATCCCCTGTTCTTGCTAACCTTTATGTGGAATAATTTGAAACTGTTCTTCCTACTATTGGTATTCGCTCTTCTCTCTGGCTCCACTATGTAGACGACATCTTTGCTCTTTGGCCCCATGACTCTCGTCTCTTCCAACCATTTCTCGATGCCCTTAATAATCTTGCTCCTTTCCTCAAGTTTAAAGCTAAATGGGAATATAACTCTTTGCTTCCTTTCCTTGATATACATGTCCACTGCTCAGCTACAGGCTTTTCTTTTTCTATTTATCGCATGTGGCATGTATATTCATTACTTTTCTTACCATGCTCCCTCTCTCAAAAAAAAATGCTATTTCTCTCTTTCTCCGTGCCCTCCGCATTTGTGACCCTCAGTTCCTTGTTTTGGAAATTTCCACTCTTCGTAATTCATTCTCTCATATTGGCTTCCCTTCTAACTTCATAAACTCTGCTTTATCACATGCTAAACAGACTTTCCTCTCTTCCAAACGCTACTCCTGTGTAATCCCGTTCTCTACCTTCCCTATATTTCTAGTCTTTCTAATCTCACCAACTCTCTCTGTTCCTTGGACAATAAACGTACTTTTCGTCAAACTAACACCTTTTACAGTAATCTGGCTTATACCTCTCCTCCCACTATAGATGCCCCTGGTGTCTACTCAATTTCATGCTCCTCTTGTCCTCTCCAATACTTTGGAGAGACTGACTGCTCTCATTTTGACAGACTCGAAGAACACAAAATTAGTGTTAGGAATGCCAACACCAATAATGCTTTTGTCCGTCATGATAAAAATCATAGTCATCCTGCTGACTGGTCCTCTGCTAAAACTGTCTACCCTACATCTAGCTTTCACAGTCGTTGTCTTGTTGAAGCATCCCCTCATACACAACTTTCTTTGTATGAAACTTAGTCTTGGCTTTGTCTCTGTAGATGCCTTCCTTTCTCATTACATTGTCAATTGCTCCAAACTTCAGAACACTCATGACTTAACTTGATCCTTTCTTCTCCTCCTTTCCTATCTTTTTCCTTTTTCTTTGTTTTCCTTTCTTTTGCCTACTGTGTTCTGTTTGTCAGTTTTCTTCCCCTACATTTGGCCTTACCCCTTGTGGGCCTTTAGTACTCCTGCAATGCTCCTTTTTTTGTCCTTAGAATGACCTCATTTCTACTTCTACTTAGTCTTTCCCCCAATTTCCCTACTATTTCTACTTCCTTTACTTTTGCCTCCCCTCACCCTTCACTCCCCCTTTTTTCTCTCTTGCCACTAAACTACTCTCCCAATGTTCTACTTCCACTACCTACCTACTACTACCACTACTTCCTCTTCTCCCTCTCTTATTCCCATCCCTTTTCCATGCTCCCCTATATATATTGGCTGCCTCACTCTTTTCTGTTAGTGTGACTTTGTCATGCTAACAGAAAAGAGTGGGCAGTCAGTATATACAGGGTTATTTGTGTATTGTTCCAGTCACAGTATTGTGCCTTTTTGTTCTTCAATGTGTAAATTATACCAATATATACTCAATTAACCCTTAAACTGCGGCATCCTGGAAATAAAATGTGCATGCAAGGAAAAAATAAAACTCCAAATAGGATAAAACAAAATTGGATGATAATTTACAACTGTATAGTGTGATGACGTTGACAAAAAGTTATTGTGTCAGAAACAGTGGCATACATGTGCCAGTGATATGTGTTTTACAATTTATTGATGCCAAATTATTTTTTTGGGGGAGGGGAGGGGGGTTATTTACCATTTGTAACACTATGTACAGTTGTTTCTTGTGAGATGAGATTTGATTCAAGGCATTTTAAGCACTCAAAACATGGGAAAATGCATAGCCTAAAATTTCCCCACTTGGAATATACAATATATTATAAATTGATAGAAATAAGTTTATCCTATTTCTTTTTACTGCATTAGTCTTTGAACACTATGTACAAAGAAATCTTGTAATATTACAATTGTTTCTAGCATGATCCTCCTTGAAACAAAGAAATAACTCACACTGACTTTCTTGGCTTATCCCCAGTTAGTTATAATTGTTATTATATTTAGAAGCACTAAACCCAGAGGGGTCGTATAGTGCTTGGGGAATGGGAAGCAACTAGGTTTAATCCAAGGAAGAACAGGATAGGTACAATTTCTTGATTCAAGAGCTCCTTGTTGCAGATTCACTCTATCACTGTCTTACCTCTGGCAAGACAGTGATGGAGTGAATGATGATGAAAGTATCTCTTCTTTTTTTGGGTCACCCTGCTGTATAGCCCATGTGGCTTAGCACTTCTTTTTGATTATAATAATAATAATTTGGGTCACCCTGCTTTGGTGGGAAATGGTCAATGTATTATTAAAAAAAAAAACTCACCTGCATCATAGATTATTATAAATATTATTATATTATTACATTACCTGTAGGGGTCATACAGCCCCTGGGAAATGAAAATCAAATATAACTGAACCAAGGAAGGGGAGAGACAAGTTCACTTCCTTGGATTAGGAGCCCATCAACAAGTCTTCCCTGAGGGGCTATCTTGGGTTAAATAAACAATATTATTTTGAAGTGCCCATAACACCTGTATGCTCAAGACCACTGTAATATATAGGATTTCCTTGTAAATATATTTATATGATATTACTATTGTGTCAAAGTGGGCCCAACTGATCTTAGATTTTTCCAGGCATGAGGAGGTAGGAGGAGACCCAAATAGCTGAGCCAAGGCCAAAAATTTCTGCAGGAAGTGTATTTGAAAGTACAAAAAATCAGCATACAAGCATACTGCACATGGTTTGGTCCCCTGCCTACTAGTGAGCCAAATGCAGTTTAAGGGTATACGAGATGCAGTATCAAAATGTTATATATATACACAAGAGATGCATGTGGAGAGTATGATATATAAATATTTTTAAATATCAGTTCTTACCTTGAGCAGCATAATAATCCATGTCTGGAACATCACAAAGCTTGATAGCATTACAAGCAATAGGAGGACCTACATGGTCAGGTCTGTAGTCACCTTGGATGGTCAGTGTGGCTGGAGCACCACATTCTGTTTGGCCGTATCCTTCCACAATCTGTTGGCCATATAACAGACCAAGTGATGACTGCATGTAGTGTTAACAGATAAGTAGTAATGTTTCAATGTAATGTATTTTCATTACACTGCATTGGTTACATATAGTTTAGACACGCATACATAGGCATACAGTTAATCAGAGAGATATAGGTAATTACATGTAACACTGAAGACAAAGACTGACAGAACAAGCTTTATACTGGGACATTGATTCACTAGGTAGAGCTGTAACGAATCATGGTGAAGCTCTAGTAAAAGCTTGTTCTGCAGTGTGTGGCTTGGTCTCCATACTTATCATCAACGTCATCTTATCCTACATGGAATATTACGAGATGCAGTTCTAATTACTTAACTGTAGTCTTTTATGATATTTTTCAGTCACTCTAAAATTTGAGTCAACACATACAGTACCTGAATTTTAAATAAAGTGATGAGAGAAAATACTCACAACGCATCCTAATGCAACTCTCATGAAGGTGAGAACATTGCCTGCCAGAGGTGCAGAACCCACAACCAGCAGTCTCAATCTACCACCCATACCATCTTGCACTTTCTTGAACACTAACTTGTCCCAAATGGATGATCTTCTGATCACACCTCTATGAAAAGCATATTTGTTTCATATTAATTTTAAATAACATTAAAATACTTAATGATAGGACCTTATTACTGCAATTTTACGAACTAGAGGACATAGATTTGACGTAAAGAGTATGGAGAGAAAATCAAGTGTTGCCTTACTACTGGTGAAGGGCTCGTAATTCAAGAAACTGGAGCTACCTTCCTCTTCCTTGGAGCAAACCTGATTACTCCAGCCTTCCCATTCCCCAGGCACAGTATGATCCTTATGGGATTATTGCTGTCCAATGAAAATAATAATAATAAAACTTGCTTCTTTCATAACCCTATGTCAGAACACCATTCAAGGGTGTTCCAACAGTGATGAAGAGCTTTTGGTCCAAGAAATTTGACCTAACCTTCCCTTGCTTGAATTACCATACTACTAATAAAACAGAACATACCTCTCAATTTCAGCTTTCTTGCTTGCAGCCGCCATCTTCAACATGAGCTTTTTAATGGCAGAACCATTCACCGATGATGTGACTTTATCATAAACACGATTCAGGAGGCGAGGGACGGATGGGGTGATGGTTGGTCGCAAAGCTTTATAGTCATCGACAAGATTACGAATGTCACCCGAGTAGAAGCCTACAGCACCACCTGCTATATAAACAGCCACCTCACAGCAACGCTCCAGCATGTGTGCCAGTGGCAAGAACGATAACATCACGTCACTCTGTGTAGGAAAAACATTCCAAATAAGGTTATCTAAATATTGTAACAATAAAAACAACACTCATGACAGGAAATCTTACATGAAACTTTTAAAATACTGAACAATACAGTGTAGCAAACTTAAGCAGCAATCATTCTTAAGATGCACTATATTACATGCCACATAAGAGGCCATAACTTCAATCTTGTTATCATCCAACACTGGCAACAGGAGGTACCCATGGAGGTTTAGTACTTTTGTTAATATTCCCTTCAAAGGGATGATTTCCTTGATGCTGGGGAAGGCCTCATGATCCCCAGCCTTGGATTAAACATGATTACCTCCCATTTCCCTATATGAGCCCTACAGCTTTGGCACTGCCCAATGAATATATTATGTAATCAGGATGCAGATAGTGGCAGCTTTAATTTGCAATTCAAGAAAGTAACTTGCCTTGTGTGGTTTGTGCTCAGCTAGCTGTAGGAGTGTTGCAGAAACATCTGCAACAATGTTTTCGTGTGATAACATAACGCCCTTAGGATTACCAGTAGTACCAGATGTGTAGCAGATAGTGCAGAGGTCCTCTGGCTGTGGAGGCTGGAGACAAACTTCAATGTCAGTCACAATATAGCAGTTTTTCTTGTAGACATTAAATCAGAAAAAATATTGTATCATTACCAATGTAGTTATTGTGTCAAAGAACGTGGCTCCCCAGGATATGGTTGTGTGTAACTATATTGGGAATGTATCAATCCACTGATGAATTATATATAAAATTTGGACAGGCAGCTAAAGTCAGTACCTGACCAGCTGGGCTATGATTCATATGTCGGTTTGCATGCAGCCAGTAGGAACAACCTGGTTGATCAGGCCCTGATCCACCATGAGGCCTGGTCATGGACCAGGTCACAGGGGTGTTGACCCCCGAAACACCCTCTAGATATATTCCAGGTATGTGTCTCATGAAAATTATTCCTTAACAGATTTTGTCCATTAAACCCAAAATAAATTTACCCAGTGGACCATAACAATAACAGACAATTCTGGCTTTAATGGACTTTGTGTATTGTTTCAGGATGTTATCCGGGCAACAAATTTTGTGCATTAAATCAAAGTTTCACTAGAGTGTTTACTACGTTATTTATTTTAGTTATTACTGATATATATAATCCTATACAAGGTTATTTTTGAAATTTCTGCCACTGAGAAGAGGATATATATGAAAAAAACAATTACACTCAGTTCAAGCATACAGAAACAAAGAAATGCACAGTGAATTATACATTTGTAAACATCTATCAAATGATGATGATGAAGTTAAATTTCAAAGAACCAATGAACAAATGTAAAAGAATGCACCAACTCATAATTTCAATAGTTTATTAGAAAATCCATCCTGTGTAATGGAACATAACAGGAAAACCATCCTGCATGATGAATGTTAGATAAACATAGCTCTTGCTCTAACTTGGCAAAATGTTATAAACATGAGGGTGGCTGCACAAGTTGGTTATCTAATTTTAATAATAAAAACTCATGAATATAAAATGACAGAGTGAGCCCAAATGAAGAATAAACAATCATCTCACCAGTTCCGGAAGTTCACTTGCAGCACCCAGGGTTTCGATCTCTTCAAAGAACTTGATAACCATGCCTAATTTCTTAGCACGCTCGGCAGTCTCGGGACTAATATCTTTGATAGCAATAAGTGTCTTGAGACACTTAGGTGGATTCTGCAACAGCTGACTCATCTTACGGTCATCCTGACACACCACAGTATTGATGGAAGCTGTCGAAGGGCCAGAAAGAGCCTTAAGTTAATTTTCAGCATAATTTATTGAATCTTAAAATAAAAAATAAATACTGTGAAGTACTATAATAAGTTATATAAATGTTTACATTTTAAAGGGGAATTCCTTGAAGATGAAGGCTCTTGGTCAAAGAAACTGGAGCTACCCTTCCCATCCCTTGATCAAACCTGATTACTTCTATTTTTTTACGTGCTGTTTGACCCATATGGGTTTAGTGCTTTCCTATGAATATAAAATAAAATAATAATAATTAATATTTGTCATCATGATTGCTCACCTTGGTTGATAATAAAGTTGCAAGCCTCTGGTCCCAGTGTGTCATAGAGTGGCACGATGACCATGGACTGGCAGTAAAGACCCTGCTCAGTGAGGATCCACTCAGGGCAGTTCTGAGAGTAGATACCAATGAAGGTCTCTGGGCCAGGGTTCAGACCTAATGCCACCAGACCAGCACCGAAGTTTTTCGCTCTTAGTAGAGCTTCGTTGTAGTGGAGCCACTGATAAGGTTTTCCCGGTCCCTCTCTCCACCCCAGACATGGACCATTATCTGCCAGTGAACCACCAATGTTAATACTTTACTATAGAGTATTTATTCCTATTTAACAGTTTGCTTAAAAATTTATAATAATGATACCTCTACAAGCAGTATTGATTATTATTATTATAATCATAACTAAGCAAATATTATTGAACATTAGCATATGTAAAGCAATTTGAAAAAACTTTATATTACTCAAAGTATATGGAATACAGTATTTTAAGATAATAATTACTGTAAATGAGAAACACTGTTAGTGATAGTAGTACTTTCGAGGGAGGTCCCTTGATTCTAGCAAGGGGCTCTTGATCTAAGGAATGGATGAGTGCTCCAACTCCTTGAATCAAAGCTGACTGCCTTCCATAACCCCAAGGCAGTGTATGACACCTTTCGATTTAGAACTTCCCCATTAATGCAATAATAATAATATTGATAATAGGTAGAAATGATATATTTAATCCTTGATATTACCCATATGGGTTTATTATTTTCTTGTGACTATGATAACTGAAGCTACTGTGTTTAAGTTCGGAATGTCCCAGTCTTACACTAATCATTGTGAGGCTGTGATATACTGTACTACTGTCTTTACTGTAGCAGTTATAACTGATGTGACTAGTGATCTCATATTGTAATATTTGACTATCTTCATCGTCTTACCTCAAGTCTAAACCCTGCCTGTGTGACAGGGGAAACTATCCTCTGTGATGGAGTGTTAACAGGGAAATCATCCTGCCTGATGGACTATTACAGAAAAACCCACCCTGCGTAAATAATAGTCAGTTCCTGCTCTAACCTTCCAAACTGTCACAAAGGTCCCGAGTCAGAATGCAGTAATCTTAAATTTAATAGTAGTTCTTCTTCTTCTGTTGGGTTTCAGGGCCACTGACAGCATACGCCGTAATTTAATAGTTAAAAATCCGTGTTATTTCGTTTGTGTCACTTAAAGTATAATGTTTACGTACACTGATGACAGGGTATAGTGTGATATAGACCTGCGCAGCGAAACTTGAATATTTATTTATTTATTTATTTATTTATTTATGTCTTTGCAAATGGTACATTGAGATTATGTATTTACAATAATGGGTTGCAATGCAGAGATCCTCTATTATTGTTCTGAACCAAAGGACTTTGACATACAATTCCTGCCATCCAAGTATGATTGACAAGACAATCATCCTCGGTGATGATAACACGGTGTCAATCATCCCTGGTGGTGATAACACGGTGTCAATCATCCCTGGTGATGATAACACGGTGTCAATCATCCCTGGTGATGATAACACGGTGTCAATCATCCCTGGTGATGATAACACGGTGTCAATCATCCCTGGTGATGATAACACGGTGTCAATCATCCCTGGTGGTGATAACACAGTGTCAATCATCCCTGGTGGTGATAACACAGTGTCAATCATCCCTGGTGGTGATAACACGGTGTCAATCATCCCTGGTAGTGATAAAACGGTGTCAATCATCCCTGGTGGTGATAACACGGTGTCAATCATCCCTGGTGGTGATAACACGGTGTCAATCATCCCTGGTGGTGATAACACGGTGTCAATCATCCCTGGTGGTGATAACACGGTGTCAATCATCCCTGGTGGTGATAACACGGTGTCAACCATCCCTGGTGGTGATAACACGGTGTCAATCATCCCTGGTGGTGATAACACGGTGTCAATCATCCCTGGTGGTGATAACACGGTGTCAATCATCCCTTGTGGTGATAACACGATGTCAATCATCCCTGGTGGTGATAACACGGTGTTAATCATCCCTGGTGGTGATAACACAGTGTCAATCATCCCTGGTGGTGATAACACGGTGTCAATCATTCTGAAGATGGTAACAACAAGACCTACTAGCTACTCACTAGATTCCTTAACACCTCTACGGAAGACATCGTAGAGTGTTCTGGTGTCCTCATATAAAAACTTCATGAACTTGCCCTCCCGGGCCTCCTTGGTCAGCTTCGACACACGGATCAGCTCTGCGCCCTGAGGAAGGAGCAACACGCACGGATTAATAAGTGATAAGATACATTATATCATTATATTACTGGTTTACAATGCCGTCAGTTTGATGAATAAGACGTGTATCCAACGGTCGGGTATCTTTATTGCTGCCCGAAATGCTCAGGCATGGTTTAGTGACTTTCTTTGTGCTTAACAATACTATCAAATGTAAAATCACACATTGTAACAATTGCAAAGAAATAAAAATTTGTATTTGTAATATCAGTGAAAGTTAGAGTGCGTGTTAGACTCTTGTGTGTGAGTATAAGTCATCATGATAGTCGCTACACTGCAGCGATGTTTCTAGTGGTCACGATAATGTCAATCGCTACATCAGTCGCTGCGTTGGTCACTGTATCAGTCGCTGCGTCGGTCACTGCATCAGTCGCTGCGTCGGTCACTGCATCAGTCGCTGCGTCGGTCACTCCATCAGTCGCCGCATCAGTCACTGCGCCGGTCATTGCATCAGTCACTGCGCCGGTCACTGCATCAATCACTGCGCCGGTCACTGCATCAGTCACTGCGCCGGTCATTGCATCAGTCACTGCGCCGGTCACTGCATCAGTCAATGCGCCGGTCATTGCATCAGCCACTGCGCCGGTCACTGCATCAGTCACTGCATCAGTCACTGCCTCAGTCGCTGCACCGGTCACTGCATCAGTCACTGCTGTCAGTCACTGCAACAAAAGCTTGAGTGACTCAGCCCAACAGCAGCTACAACAGCGTCACTGCTCTGCTTTACTGTCTCCCTCGTCCGCTGAGCAAGTTGCTTCGTCTTGGTGTTTTTGTCATCTCTGAATTAGAGTGCTTATTTCTGCGAGGCAGGGAGTGTGGGCGTGAGGGTATGCAGAGGTGTGGGCGTGATCGAGGGCGGCCGGGCGGGTGGGTGGGTCGGTACCTGAGCCACGCCACACTTGGCCAAGCTTATCCAACATGGTCGCTGTGTTGACTCGAGATTAATACCCTGCCACCTGATGACCTAAATATATGCCTGTGTATGTGTGACAAGCTCATGTACACACCTGCACATATGCGCGCGTACATACACACACATCCAAGTGTATATACATACACTGTCACACAACCTAAAACCTACTTTCAGGAACCTTAGAGACTTATTTTGAACATTATACCTAACATACGATATACCCAGCAGGAAGTATGCGGCGCCAGTATGGAGCCGCATTCTTCTGCTAATAATCAGTTATATATAAAAACTCGAGGAGGTTCAAAGATCAACGAGAGGTACCGGACTACCGGGGGTCGATTACCAGGGCAGACTTAAACTAATTCAACAAATAACACTAGAAGAGAAAACCAAAGACACTTGATCATGGCATATAAAATGCAAAATACTCAGAGTATTAGATAGAGCGGATAGAGAGAGGCTAAGATGCGAGGAGAGGGAAGCCAGGAAACACAGATGGCAGTTCAAGGCAAATGAAGCACACGGGTGCTAGAAAGGACCTCTCTTTAAGACTAGGGACGGTGAATTAGTAGAAGCTACACAAGCGGTGGAGGCAACCCATAATACACATTTCCAAGAGTAGAGAAGGTTGGTGCCTGGAGGCTGAGTCGGTGAAGCCGATCCATAAGAGTTAGGAAGTGAGGCCATGAACTGGGTTCATGGCTGAGAGACAATTTAAAAATGCTACATGAGAAAAGACTAAAACAGAACCAAGACTTCTTCATGGAAACTTGTGAAAATTGCAATAAATAACGAAAGGATAAGACTTAAGGAAGCAGGAATACCAACGACAGAGAGAGGTATGCGAGGAACTAAAAAAAATATTGAGAGAGGCATTCAGAGAGGAGCTAGAAATGATGATAGGGAACATGAGAACCGGGTCAGATTAATCCACACAACAAGAAAGGAAGTTAAGATACTGACGACAACAGACAACGCAAAAACCATGAGACCTAACAAAATATCCACATGGGCACTGAGGGAAGGAGCAGAACCATTGTGTGAGCTTATACGGAAGAGCTTCAATACCTGGAGTTTACCTGGAGAGAGTTTCGGGGGTCAACGCCCCCGCGGCCCGGTCTGTGACCAGGCCTCCTGGTGGATCAGCGCCTGATCAACCAGGCTGTTGCTGCTGGCTGCACGCAAACCAACGTACGAGCCACAGCCCGGCTGATCAGGAACTGACTTTAGGTGCTTGTCCAGTGCCAGCTTGAAGACTGCCAGGGGTCTGTTGGTAATCCCCCTTATGTGTGCTGGGAGGCAGTTGAACAGTCTCGGACCCCTGACACTTATTGTATGGTCTCTTAACGTGCTAGTGACACCCCTGCTTTTCATTGGGGGGATGGTGCATCGTCTGCCAAGTCTTTTGCTTTCGTAGTGAGTGATTTTCGTGTGCAAGTTCGGTACTAGTCCCTCTAGGATTTTCCAGGTGTATATAATCATGTATCTCCCTCCTGCGTTCCAGGGAATACAGGTTTAGAAACCTCAAGCGCTCCCAGTAATTGAGGTGTTTTATCTCCGTTATGCGCGCCGTGAAAGTTCTCTGTACATTTTCTAGGTCGGCAATTTCACCTGCCTTGAAAGGTGCTGTTAGAGTGCAGCAATATTCCAGCCTAGATAGAACAAGTGACCTGAAGAGTGTCATCATGGGCTTGGCCTCCCTAGTTTTGAAGGTTCTCATTATCCATCCTGTCATTTTTCTAGCAGATGCGATTGATACAATGTTATGGTCCTTGAAGGTGAGATCCTCCGACATAATCACTCCCAGGTCTTTGACGTTGGTGTTTCGCTCTATTTCGTGGCCAGAATTTGTTTTGTACTCTGATGAAGATTTAATTTCCTCATGTTTACCATATCTGAGTAATTGAAATTTCTCATCGTTGAACTTCATATTGTTTTCTGCAGCCCACTGAAAGATTTGGTTGATGTCCGCCTGGAGCCTTGCAGTGTCTGCAATGGAAGACACTGTCATGCAGATTCGGGTGTCATCTGCAAAGGAAGACACGGTGCTGTGGCTGACATCCTTGTCTATGTCGGATATGAGGATGAGGAACAAGATGGGAGCTAGTACTGTGCCTTGTGGAACAGAGCTTTTCACCGTAGCTGCCTCGGACTTTACTCTGTTGACGACTACTCTCTGTGTTCTGTTAGTGAGGAAATTATAGATCCATCGACCGACTTTTCCTGTTATTCCTTTAGCGCGCATTTTGTGCGCTATTACGCCATGGTCACACTTGTCGAAGGCTTTTGCAAAGTCTGTATATATTACATCTGCATTCTTTTTGTCTTCTAGTGCATTTAGGACCTTGTCGTAGTGATCCAGTAGTTGAGACAGACAGGAGCGACCTGTTCTAAACCCATGTTGCCCTGGGTTGTGTAACTGATGGGTTTCTAGATGGGTGGTGATCTTGCTTCTTAGGACCCTTTCAAAGATTTTTATGATATGGGATGTTAGTGCTATTGGTCTGTAGTTCTTTGCTGTTGCTTTACTGCCCCCTTTGTGGAGTGGGGCTATGTCTGTTGTTTTTAGTAACTGAGGGACGACCCCCGTGTCCATGCTCCCTCTCCATAGGATGGAAAAGGCTCGTGATAGGGGCTTCTTGCAGTTCTTGATGAACACAGAGTTCCATGAGTCTGGCCCTGGGGCAGAGTGCATGGGCATGTCATAGACGGGAAATTACCTTATGTAGTCAGAGGCCAGGCAGGCAGCACTTAATACAGGTTGATATTAATTGAAATACACCCTGTCCGTTGTATGTGGAAAATTGTGTGGAGAGAAAGTTTCGCCAGTGAAAACCAACAAGAATTCAAGGACGAGAGATCCAATCTCATGAACCTATGACAGAGCTACTGAGATACAAGGCAGAGAGGGAGAGAGAGAGAGAGAGAGACATGGGTGAAATGATTCATCCTAGACGGAAGAAAAGCATTTCAGTTTCCCACCAGAGTCAGATTCACAAGTTAAAAGAATGAACAAGGGTGAAAGGAGAATCCTTCAATGGATCAAGGTATACCTGAAAGTGAAGAAGTGTAGGATGAATAAGGATAATAAGTGGGGGAACCCAAGGATCAATACAAGGGTCACTACTCTTACTGATATGTAAATGGCCTACCCGATGAGACTGAATGCTAGGTACATGTGAAACTATTGAGAATACAAACGAGTGAAATCAGAGAGGGCCACCAGGGAAACTTAGATTGCAGGGGCGGTCAGACAAGTTCCTGCTGCAGTTTAATTCGAATAATTGCAAGATTGTGCAGTTTGGGAAAGATGAAGAGAGACCAGACAAGAAGTACAGGCTAAGAGCAGACAGAGTACAAATATCAACAAAAGAAAATGTTCTAGGAGTGCACATCTCATAGAACACAGAGCTGTAAGAACATCCTCTGTAAGGTTAGCAGATCTCAAAATAATCTTTAGGAACCTTTTAAAAATTTGTACACAACGTATACCAGACCCGTACTAAAATAAGTAACACCAGCGTAGAAGCCCCATCTGACCAAGAACGTTCAGAAGCAACAAAATGATCAAAGGTTTGCAGGCAGACTAGTTACTGAGCTGTGGCGAGAGCTATGAGGAGATACTAAAGAAACTGTACCTGACGACTTTGCAAGAGAGGACTAGTGAACACTATTACAATATAGAAGATAATAAGACTTGATAGAGGGCATAGAGACAAACTATTTCAGATGGGAGAACTAGAAACAAAGGGACACAGACATAGCTATGTACACAGCTATGTCCCAGGGATGAAAGGCAATACTTTTTCAGACTTAGGGTAACTGCGAAGTAGGATGAACAGGATGGGGAACTGGTAAAGGCTAACCCCATGCAAAAATTTTGAATGATACGGCTCAAGAGGTCAGAAACCAATAATGTCAGAAAGTTTAAGAGACGGGACCAAGAGCCCCATAAACCCAAATCTGTGAGTAAACACACACTCAAATGTATATTCCGCCCCCCCTCCCCATCAACACAGACTATGTGAGATTGTCTGTGTGTGCGAGGGTGTGT